AGAAAGTGGAAGAATGAACTGTGGATATGCAGAAAATTCATATCAAAGACAACCTCGACGATTTTATGACAAAGGCAATCAAAGCCGATAAGTTTATTTAGTGTTGATCCTCCTACGGCCTGATGAAGACATAAGCAACATGGGAAGAAAAGATAGAAAGAATAGTGTGAAGATCCGATTGACTCTCAATCAAATCTTCAAGTGGGAGATTGTTGAAAAACAATAAACAAAAAAAGGGATTTCCGTGGATAATTTATCCATGGAAATCACAAGCTTGCATGCAACTTACATACAAGGCTTTCCGTGGACAATTTGTCCACGGAATCCCAGCTTGCATGCAAGCTAGATCACGGCTTGCAAAATGCAAGCCGTGACTAACCTTGCACCGCCTAAATTGAGGCGGTGCAAGCAAGGGAGAGGTCTATAAATAGGCCTCTCCACCTTAGTTTGATATCCCACCATCCATCTCAAAGAAGAGAGAGAAAAATATAGAGAGTGTTTTTCCTATTTCAAGAGAGAAATTTATTGTTTTCTCCTTATAGTATAGAGAGAGGGTGTAACTCTTATTATTTTTCATAGTGAAATTCTTCTATCTTGTTCGTGGTTTTTTCCCTTAATTTGTTTAAGGGTTTTCACGTAAAATTTGTGTGTTCAACTTCATTTTTATTTCTCAATTTTATTAGTCGCGACCTCGCTCTATTCGGTCAATAACTCAACAGGAAAAAAGAGTCTTAGTCAATCATGGTAGAGAAATAAAGATTCATGGGAAGGGGAATGCACATTGTCAACAAACGAAAAAAAAACATGTTACATCCCAATAGGTTGTACCGCAAAAACCTTAGTGGTTTTCTAACGGTCAACATATCACAGAGCATTATTGCCGAAAAAGTTCTTCATACATTTGTTCATATCATGATGCTAAACAAAATAAAAGACACTTTAGGAATAACAATAAGCGAGAGGAGAAGAAGCATGAAACGAGAGGGGAAGAATGAAGAAGCGAGAGGAGAAGAAAAACCCTAAGAGGAAAGGGATAATGAAGCGTTCTTACCCTTTCAAAACCAAAAAAAAAAAGAAAAAAAAAAAGAAAGAAGAAGCAGAGCGAGAAGATGGAAGAAGTAGAGGAGAAGAACAGGTGAAGAAGGAAAACTCTCAATAATAATGAAGCTTGCCCCTTTTAGAACAAAAAAAAAATTAAAAATGAAGAAGCAAAGAAGATGAAGGAAGAGGCGAATCTAAGAGACTAAGCATAGGAAGAAGCTAGAAAACCCTAAGAAAAGAGGAAAAATGAAGCGCCCTTCGATCCCTTTCGAACCAAAAAAAAAAAAAAAAAAAATAATATCGCGCCTTTTCTTAAAACTTGGGGTGGTTTTGTAAACCGCCTCATATTTGTCCAATAGAAATGTAAATGCAAAAAAATTTGAGGCGGTTCTGTAAACCACCTCAACCAAACTGCCTTTATATCCTAATTTTGTTGTAGTTTTGCTTTGCAAGATAGAAATGAGGTCTTACAAGAGGTCAAGCTTCACTTACATCAGGCTCAAGTGCACATGAAGTAGGTACATAACAGCTACCACCCTGTAGTGTCCTTTGTTCTTGGCCAATTTGTATGGCTAAAACTATAACCTTACCGCTAGCAATCTACTCACAGGCGATCATTTCACAAGCTGGCACCAAAGTTATATGAATCATTTTGGATTATTTAGAAGCTTAGGTCTGTGGCTTATGAGCTTCATCTCTTTGCAGATTGCAAAATCCGTAACATCTTTCATGTCTCTTTATTGAAACCTTTCAAGGGTGCTGCACCTTCCACCATCCTTACCCTGCCTTCCGTATTCGATGTTAAGCTTATTCCCCATCCTCAAGCACTACTTGGCTCTCGACTGAACCATGGGGTTCAGGAAGTCCTTGTTCAATGGGCTGGCATGTAGGCTGTTGATGCAACTTGGGAGACTGCCACTACTTTACAGGAGTCATTTCCTACCATTGAGGTTAAGGACAAACTCATAGTCTAAGAGGGGAATAAAGATGTGGAAGCATTCATTGGCAAGATATACAACCGCATGAGCAAAGTACCAGGAGTTGCACTAGCAGATGACTAACTGACAATTTCTATTTTTATGCATTAGTTATTTTTCTAAGTTTAGCAAGAATAAAAGACAATTAGGCAATTAGCTAAATAAGTCCTATTGTGATTTAGTATCTTTTAGATCCGTATTATTAGGGAAACATATAGGGCTAAAAAGACTTAACTTTTGTATTCCTTTTTAGTATTCTGCTACTATAAAGCAAAAATAATACCTAATAAAGATATCGAATAATTCAGTCAAAAAAACTTAGGATAGTTGGTGGTTTATAAAATAAACCATCCATTATTATCTATTACAATAGGTTTTTCACGAAAGAATTGAAATGTGAATAAGGGAAAGCTAGTTAATTCTCCCGTTAATTGAACCTTAACGAGATCTTAACTTGGGACCATAACATTATGGCATGCTTCATTCAGATTATTTTTAATACTTATCTCATGTTACACTCCTTTGTCAACTGACTGCATGCAAATTTTGGAAACGGATGAGATCTTCCCTTAAAAACTGTGCACTTCTCAATTGTGACTGCAAGCAGCTGAAATCACCGATAACACGTCTACGAAGAAGCATACTGTTCAGTAACAAGCACTACAGATCAATTCTGGTGAATTCATCAATTGCAAAGCGGTGCTGCAGGAATTCACGACTGTTTAGTGGTTTTTGTAGACTACTTGCTTCCATTATTTGATGACTACAGTAGCCTGCAATCTTCTGAGCTTCCATGTGGCTCCCATCTAAGCCTCAGCAATATACATCTACATCAGTATCTGGTCCTGTCCGTTGGTTACTACTGAAGACCAGAACCATTAGAGTCTTGAAAGTTATTTCATTCTCATTCAATGTAGCATCCAGATTTATGCTCGATCACATACCAAAACAGTAGTAAATTCCTTACATCATCTGCAGTATTTTATGATTAAGGAGTTTCGCTGATGGCTGGGAGTGCAGTTAGATTATCATTTCTCTCTCTTTTTAGTTTTAACTTGACTAGCTGAACATTTTTTGTTGGATTCTCTCTCTCCTTAAATGCCCTAGCTTTTTTTTTTTTTTTTCCTTCAGTTTATCAAATGTATAGAGCAAGAATCCAATCTCACCATCTCATAGGAACTTAGTAATAGATACCTTTTTAGTAGTTCAGAAAAATAGTCCGATTTCAGATTTCACGCATATATTCATAAGTTGACATATATTTCATCGTTGCAGTGAAATTTTGAATTCTCTCTGTAGTAGTCAAGGCCTAATAGATGCATTTGTTGATATGTAACCAGTTCTATCACTTTCATAACAGAATGAGGATTATAATTTTTATGCATGCGTCTTTTACTTAGTGTGATTCCTTAAGACTACTTGGTTTCTTTTTCACTGGCTCCAGTTTTCAGGTCATGTTCGATAGTTTCTGATCCCACTCTGCTGACTCCCAAAGATGGAAGATAAACTCTTTCTTCATTACTGGAGGAGTTCTGATAATGGTTGAGATGTTCAGTACCTGTTTCAAACAATTAAACTGGAACTGTCTGAAACTACTATTTCTTTTCTTTTTTTTCTTTTGGATATGATTATAAAAAATATTAAAATACTGGGATCAAGAATAGACACGTATAGGAGATGGAAAATGTTGGTTGTTGTGGCTTTGGCTTCCGTCATATGGTTTCCCACTTTGAAATCTATACTCGTTCCTCGTAGTTTATTTATCCTCATGTTCATGCATAACAAAGAATCTTGCTTGTGTAGTCTTGGTTATCTCAAATGCTTTAATTAATGTTAGACCTCTGCATCTCGTGGTCCTCACAACTCACATACACAAATGGTTAAAATAGTTTAGTTCCATGAATTTATAACGCAGTGCAATGCAGCTGTTTTTCTCGCTACTATTTACTTAAAAATTTTGTCCTCTCTGTTTTCAGTTCACTGGAGTGCTTTGTAATGTGGATGACTCTTTTACAAAAAAAAAAAAAAAAAAAAAAAAAAGAGATATAAAACAAAAGGGAAAGAATGGAAGTACAAGTAAAATTCTAAATGCAATACTCAGTGTAAGATTTTTATTATCATTGTATATGCCATGGAATTACTTTAAGCATTTCTTTATGAAGTATTTAGTCATTGATTATGTAATTTTGGAAGCGGGACCCCTATCTCACCAATTTCAATTATGATATTTTGGATGTTTCCTTCCAATTTTTCTGGAAGCAGAAAAATAGAAACATAAATGAAGTTTCTAAGATTTTGAATTATTAGAAAAAACTGATAAATTGTTATTCTCAATGAAACATAAGTATTGTCTATCAAGTTATCAATAAAAGCTGTTTGATGATCCACGCTCGGCCTGTATGTTTTAATGGCAGAGTTGAACTAGATGGCTTAGAAGAATTAAGTACTTTACTTTATTATTCTTAATAATGATGTTTCTTTTAGGATCTAAACAAGAAGGCCGTGGTAAACAGTTTTATGTTTTTGATTCTGCAGTTTCTTTATCAGGAAGAGTAAATAGACCAACCAAAGCCATGGTTCATATAATCCCAAATAATGGATAACAGTGAATAGAACAAGATCTCTCACTATCCCGCCTGTACTATTGAAAATATTGAATTGTTTTTTCCACACTTCTTTCGTGAACAGGGGAAGCCTTTTATACAAGGAATGGACAGCCAAGCTGGCTGCCAGGTAAGATTGCCAGGTAAGCAAATCAGTTCTAACTAATAACTGATTAACAACTGACTTTAACAAACTAATTTAACATACAAATAAGCTGTGATATGTACAATCATTTATTTTTTAATCAAAATTTATTGAGATCGCAATACTCCGCATGAATTAAGATGCAGCATCTTGAACCAAACTAATCAAAGAAATACTTCTGTGCTCTACAGATCGGATGTCTATCATGCGAAGAACTTGCTTCATAATTCGATTTCAGCCATCACCACCACCTCCTTCCCCGCTGCCTCCGCCATAACCAACCCCACCATCTTCCGTGCCACCACCAACATCATTGCCATTCCCCATGTCCATACCTCCCAAGCCACTATCATTGAAACCACCTCCATCATCGATACTAGCAATTACAGTGGTTGCTACTACAGCAGCAGCAGCGCCAGCCAGAACATCTATCCCGCCATCTCTTATGCCACTACTTTCCCCATTTTGACCTGGATCATGATATGTTTTCTGAGGCAGAGTAGCTGTTCTAGTCCTCCCCTTGCCAGGATGTAGTTTGTTTCCCTTTAAGCCTCTTTTACAGACACAAATCAGAATCAGAATTGCTGCAACTATGAAGCCACAGACAATGAGTGCAATAGTAGATGCTTTCATCTTTCTTGAACTGATCTACTTCTATGATTTCATCACTTGAAATAAATATGTAGCCTTGGATAATGTTAAATGGAAAGAACTTGCACAGACAGAAGGTTACCATTTGGATTCTAATTATGAGAATAATGAAGTTATGTAATTGAGTTATGTTAGTTGACCTATTGTTCATGGAAATCTTAAGAATCTTTCATGTGTCATCCCCACCTACGAGCAATGGCTCGGGACAGCTTTGCCATGGTAACAGCACATGCATTCACTCTATTTACACATTATATAAAATGTTTCTATTGTTGCTTTTCAACCACGTTCTGATAATCTCTAATATTCATTATGTTTTCATCAGTAATTTAATAGATTATTTATTTGGCATTTATTTTTGTCTCTTATATCTTTTTGGATACATCCTTTTCTACCCATGTGTCTACCTCACTATCAAAAAAAGGCAATTAGAGATAAAATATTCCGTCGCTAATTGCCAAAATTTTGTCGTTATTCATGTTTAGCGACGGAATAGCGATGGACACTATTCTATCACTAATTCCCTTGTCGTTAATTTTTTACGATGGAATATCGAGTTCATTGCAAATTTTAGCGATGAAAAATCCTTCGCTAAACTAAAAAAAAACCGTTACTAATCTTCTCATGGGATCCGTCGTCTCGTTCGTAGCTAATCCGTCACTATTCCGTCGCTAGTTTTAAAAATAAATTTGTTGCTAGTCCGTTGCTAGTTTTAAAAATAAATTTGTCACCGAGTCTATCGCTATTCCGTCACTAATTTTAAAAATAAATTTGTCGCCGATCCATCACCAATTCCATCGCTAATTTAAAATTCAATTTGTCGCTAGGCCGTAGCCAATTTTGACTAATCCCTCGCTATTCGGTTGCTAATTTTAAAAATGAATTTATCGCCAATCCGTCGCTAATTTGGAAAATGAATTTTTCACAATTTCGTTACTTTTTTGACTTTTTTTAATTATTTTTGAATTATTAATATGACATTTAATAATTAATAATTATAAGTAATCATATATATATGAAAAATAAAATAATATTAACAATATCATTCTAGAGTACGTTCCATAAAAAAACAATAAAACAAAAATGTGATTGAATACTATATCACTCATTTTACTCGTCTAATCCCATATCCTCATCCTTATCCTCATCCTCATACTATGTGCGGGGCTTGACTAAAGGACCAACCGGAAGCCGAGCGGTAGGTTGCTCGAATGATCGACAAATCTATAGGCGATCCGGATGTTTGTGCCAGCCTCACCGCAAGATGCCATCGAATCGTATTGAGATTTCATACTATAAATAGTCCGATTTTGCTGCGAGATTTGGCTTTTAAGCTCGTCCGTTAGCACCCGCATCCTCTTCATTGCTTCCTTCGTATCCTCGTAGTCCCTCCGAAGCTCTTCGTTAATCGGATCGACGGTGTATTACGACGTTGCGGAAGAGGAGCTACCGCCACTTGACCGAGACAGATAATGCACCGACCGTATGCTTAACCATAAAATCTTTTCTTCTTCTCCCCAACAGCACTGTAGGTATATGACATTCTTGTCTACTTCTAGCTCCAAGATTCCGACCCACTTCGAGCCATAACTTCCTCATTGATGAGTCGCTCCACACGGTCCTATGTAATCAAAATAATAATATAATCATTACAAGATTAAAATAAATTTTAGATTAAATTTTCATATTTAAAATTTAAAATTGAAAAACACCGACCTTTGTCTTCGGGGACCACGGATCGACAAATAAACCATCGTGACGCTTGTGAGTTGTTTGGAACAACTCAAAATTTGTTGGTCGATGACCCAATTTTGTTGTAAAAAAAAAAATTCATTACGGACAATATGACAAGTAAATTGATATGTTTTGAAATAAATAAATAATAATAAAGAGTGTGCAATTTACCAAGCGATGAGCGTACTCTCTCGAAGATATTGAGCCCTCCGTATGTCTAGAAGGATCCGAACTAGGACAATCGGTCTCTTTACAATTAGTTCCGTGATGCTTGCTTTGAACAAGCGACGCAGCCTAAGTTTCTTAAAATCTACTTGCCACGCATGACATGCCTCTTGACTCATATATATAGGTCGGTTGTTCTTTAAACTAATCTTGTATACGAAGTTAGTACAATATTTCTTGGTGATACCCTCCCACCCAGCTCTAACAAGCGCATCGATGTCTACGTCCCATTCAAAAAATTTCTACACAAATAAACAAATTTGTATAGCTTATTTGATGATAAATTTTTTATTTTAATTATAAAGAAATTTGATAGTACGTTATCCAAAATTCACTCAAGTAGAAGTCTTCAATGACGTCGGTGACATCCTTCCAGGATGATCCACTCCTATCTACTCGTTCCTTAAAAATCTCACTAATCCTAATATCATAATCTCTAGTATATAGAGTCAAGCTATCAAACAAACAACAAAACGATGAAAAAAATATTTTAAACATAATAATTATTGAAATTACGTATTAAAATAAAAAAATAAATACATATTATCCGTAATCGACGTAAACAATAAGTCACCGACTAGAGGAGCTATAAGAACTCTCTAGATTATCGGACACGTTAATGGAGGGGCCACTCTCGGATGTGGCGGTCGAACCTCAAGTGTCGATGCGGACGTGCTGGCTCCATGATTACGGGAGTAGTGGGATCCATAAAAAAGGCTTGTTGTTGGAGATCCACGATCGATACTAGTAGGGGATCCTAATGGACTACCCTCGGATGGTGATACTCATCCACGATTATCGAAACGTGATTCGGTAGTAACTGCGGGCGGAAAACGCAAACCACAATTACCATGAGTCATTGTTGTATGATCTAAAATTAAATAAATAAATAAAATATAAAAAATAATTATCATAGTCAATTAATGGGTAAATAAATTAAAATACATCATTTCTTATGGATATAAAACAATCAAAATACACAACAAAATTTTAGTGAAAGTAGAAATAATAATGTTATTAATCGCATGTAAAAAATTAATAAAGAGATAAAAATTATATAATTTCTTAGTAATACAACAAATGAAATATAAATTTAATTAGAACTATCGTAATCATTATTTAATTTATCATCCTCATCATCCGACACATTGTCATAATCATTTTCTTCGTCAATCACGCCTACTTCTATATCTATAAACAATCCATTTGGATCATTTAATAAAGTGACATCCTCGACTTTCTTTACCAATTCATGTCTAATTTCTAGATCATCCTGCTGAAATAGTTCAACATTTTATTGGATGGTAGCCGATGAATCGGGAAAGTCAAACATAGACCTAGCTTTGATCTTACACACGACCCACCAATCTCGATTTTCATGCCTTAAGGTAAGGTGCTCCATATAATACACTTGAGCAGATTGTGATACTAAAACAAATGGTTCATAATTTTTCAAGCTTTTTTTTATAATTAACATCCGTAAGTTTATACGATGGATGAACCCTTGTTCCTTGCGAGTGTGGGATCGAACTAATCATATTTGAACAATACTACTCTCTTGATTGGTAATGCAAGTATATTCTATTTTAAGAATTTCGTTAGCATCCCATAATAGTCACGCTCGACTGAACTATAATTGCTTCCTTTAATGTATACACCACTATTGAAAGACCCGATTTTTGAAGATCTCTCAAGTGTGTAGAATTTATAACCATTAACAAAATAATCGCTATACAATCTTATAGTTAGTAATGGGCTTTGTGCAAGATCTTTTAACAAATGGTCTTTCAATTAGAAATTGGTTGTGCATTTTGTGTCCGTAAATTAAATGTAAAATCCCCTCTAAGTTTAATTATTTTTCAATTAATGCTATCAACAAACTAAACATTTAAAATGCTAGTACTTACATAGTGATTAAATCAAACTCATTTTCAATTAGAGCATTAGCCTCATTCTCGGACATGTATGAATTGTTTAGTTGCATTTCGGCAAGAAATCCACTAAAGAGAAGAGAATTAATACACAAGTGTAAGTTAGTCTCTAATATGTTCCTAATATTATTATATGTCATAAATTGGTATGATATAAAATTTGAATTTTGATAAACTCACTCAATGTAATGTTTGACTTCTTCATAATTTAATAATATATATTAGTGGGTCTGCTTTATGTTTGAGATATGTCAATTTTTATTTTTTGTATCGACCTGGTTTTTTGAATATGGATAACATCCTTTCAATGTGGTCATTTTTTTCTCCATCGTTGTAGTCAAAAATATACGGCACTTTTTGATGCCTAGTATGGACATGAGGCTTGAAATAATGTGAGCAAAATAGAAAAGCTTCTTCGACCAAATATGCATTACATATCGATCCTTCCATTTTAGCTTTATTTTTAACATTATTTTTTAGTCTTCGTATATACCTACAAATATGAATTATTTTAACTTTCAAAAGTTAAAAATTTATTTGATTTTAATTTTAATTTGAATATCAATACCTTTCAAATGGATACATCCATCGATATTGTACATGTCTTGCAATAGATGCCTCATATGGGAGATGGATTAGAAGATGGTCCATGGAATCATAAAAGTCGGGTAGAAATATACGCTCTAGTTTGCCAAAATGATAGGTATCTCATCATTAAGTCGCAACATATCCTCTTACTTTATAACTATAGAAGTCAATTGCTCGAAAAACAAACTCAACTCTGTAATTGCTTACCAAACATTTCTCAACAAAAACTCCCGAATCCAATTAGAAGTAACCTCTGTATGAAGATGTGATAGTCATGACTTTTCATCACATAAAGTTTTTCATGCTACATATGAACATATTTAGCTAGATTGGACACATATCTATTGGGGAACCCGAGTTGTTTTATCCATTCAAGTAATTTTCTTTTTTGTTATTTAGAAAGAGTAAATGCAACTTTAGGATACTTTCCAAACGCATCATCCTTTACTAATTCTAGCATTTTACAAAAAAGTTTCAAGTTTTCACTAGAGTTCGCATTGTCTT